GCGGGGCAGCCGATGGGAGGCCCTGCCTGCGCCTGATCATTCAGGTCCTGGGCTGAGGCTCCGAGGCAGGGAACTCACTTAGCATTTCAGAAAAGGAGCTCCCTGCCCCACTCACAGGGAATATTTATTAGATTTGATGAAAGAGCAATTTAGCCTTTACACACACCAGGCACCCACTGACCTTTTATTTTCTTATTACCTCCTTTTACCCCCCCTGCTGTTCCCATATCAAACAACAATATATCAGGTTAAGCATAGCAAGACGAAATGCTAAGGCACCGAGAAGTGCATTAAATCGCTGCTTTGCAGGGCCGCTCGCACTGTCAAGTCAGCGGGAGGCCGATGCATGATATTCTTACTCACACATGGGCTGTGAAATTCAGTCCTGGGGTCACCGTTGCAGATGAAGTTTGCAGGTAAGCCCTGTCTCGCAGAAGGCAGCGGTGGTTTTGCCGAGAAGGGGAGGTAAGAGCAGCCAGGACCCAACCTCCAGCATTTGCAGTTGTTGTCCATGGAGATTATCCGTCCATGGGAGAACTGTAGCATGAAAAAGGCATTGCTGTGCTCACTGCTGCCAGCTCCCAAGAGATTTCTGATACAGTGGACTGGATTATGCTGGATGCCCAGGATTTATCAGCACTTTCAATGGAGAGTCACCCTTCTCATTCCAGAAACCCTCAGCAGTTAATAGCAGTTTATCTGCAACAGGAGAGAAGAGTTTGCTGCTGCTTTATCTCCTTTCAGACTTTGAAGGCACCAATTCATTCTGCAAAGCAACAAGGAAACAGGGTCAGATGCCTTCAGGGCGAAAAAGAGACAGCGCACAGGGCAAGTCAACGTGCTCGCTGGTGAGCATTTCTCACGGGAGAAACCTGGTGATCAGTGAAACACAGCAGTACCTCCATCCCGGCTGGGACACGGGGCCAGGAAAACCAAATGGAAAACTCAGACAACAGCAGAAAGGCCCGCAGAGACATTTGGGCCTGTCTAGGCAGGTCTGATTCCAGCACAGGACTCAAATTTGATAGAATGCCCATTTAATCCATGGATATTTTGCTTAGGTGATGAATAGCAACCTCAGTGAAAGCCTCTCAACCACAAAGGCTTTAGAGAGCTACACAGCAAAGACTGGGAATTAAGGAGAATAAATATTAATAAAAGGAGTGGAAAAATCAATCGTTTTTCCAGACAATCCTGACATTGCTCTGCTCATCTGTGCGGGGCTGTTGCATTTACCTCTCCTCTCGTGCTGTCGGACCACGTGCTCCGGGGTGCACGCAGAGCTGCAACCGCTGCAGGAGCAATGCAGAGGCTGGAGGGAGCACGCGTTGCACGTGGAAAGGAGAAGAGGCAGGAGACAGGGAGGGAGCGGGAACTGCAAAAGAAAAGGGTGGTTGTACCGATGCGGGACTCAATGTGTGAGAGAAATCGGTGCGAACCCCTCCGCCGGTTTCGGTGGCTGCAGGTCAAACCCCGAGCGCCGGGGCTTGGCACAGCCCAGAGCCAGCATCGTTACGTAAAGGGATGGGGAGAAGCCCGGGGTGGGCTGGATGGAAGAAATGAATCCAATTACAGGATGAAGGGCAAAGCGAGAGAAAGGACACTTTTGGTCTGGAGCAAATCCCTAGAAGGCTTTAAAGCAGGGACAGCAAGAAAAGGACAAAACCGAATTCCAATGCGGGACACCCAGCTGCCACCAAGAGCAATAGGGGCCTCGAAATGGGGCAAAAGACAGGGGATGGGGCTCCTCAGCTGGCTGAGAGTGTGGCCAGGACAGGGACGCGAGGGGTTCTCCCTGGGAGACCCAAAGTACCACCAGGACGTGGCTTTCCTGGGAGCTGGAACACCGGGCTGGCTGTGCGCAGTCCTACAGGGATGGTGGAGCGAGCAGCCGGCCCCGCCAGGCCCTGCGGGGAAGCAGCAAACAAGCAAACAAACCCCAAATTTCCTCTGTACTGTTTCCCAAAAGATTATAAACCAGCTGGCCATGTCACAGCGGTCTCCAGGCTTCCACAGAGAAAACCAAGGGCTCTGCACTGGAAATGAAAAAAAAATTGACCCACTTATGACAAAACAAAACAGCGTGTATAAAGCATCGCTGCAGAGGGCTACGAACATCTACAATAAGGCCCTCAGGAATAACAGGGTTCAACTTCAAATGAGATTTACAAATTAAAAATAAAAGAGTTGGATTATTTCTATTTGCCTAAGCCCCCTTTTCTGACTGCTCAGCCGTTCCCAGGGCTGGGCCACGGCAGGCGCTGCTGGACACTGCGGAACGAAGGCGGCGGTGCTATGCTCTTGCATCCCTCTGGAATGAAATGAAACGAAAGCCTTTCTTTTGCCTCTCTGACTTTGCAGTTAAGCACCTGCCACTAGTTGGGCAAAGCAGAGCTTGGAGAGAAGAGCTGGACACAGATCCCTGCCTCCCAGCAATCCCTGTTAACCCCTCCCTAACACCTACCTGGCTCAAATAGCCCGGCAAACAGAACAAAAGCCAGCAAGGGCTTGACTGCGTTTTGCAAAACGGGAAGATCTCACAGGAGCAGACAGCACCTTCTCCCTTGCATTGGTCATCACTCTCCTCAGAGGACGGCTTGCTCCCTTGCCCAGCTGCTAACATAGAGAAACGTGCCTGTGCTGCGTGGATTTGCTGGCTGCTCGTCCCGTGGCGCTGTGTGGCCGGTGAGACTGTCTTGCAAACCTGCCTACTCTGCTACAGCCCTGGTTTATCACTTAGTTAAGTGTTGACAGCACCACACGGAGTGGTGCAGGTTCACAGCTGAGCCGGGATTGCTCAGCTCCTTGGCAAGAAAATGACAGGTCCCAAAGACTTTCTGTCTCTCCAAGGAAATCCTACAGTGCTTGCAGGGATGTTACCTGGATCAGCAGCAGCAGGAAAAGCCTGGGAGGTGACAGGGGCCTGCTTGCTTGCGAACACCATGCAAATGAGATGAGGTTGGCAGTGGTGAAGCTCTCCCCACTTCCCAGCTGCCTTCTGGCTCTGGTGCAGCCACCCCCTGTGAGGCTGTGCTGGTGGGGACAGCCTGGAGAAGGAGCTGTGATGGGGAACCTGCACAGAAAACAGGAGCTGGGATTCCTCCTGCCCAAAGCCCGCGGCTGCAGCCCCCTGGGGGCTGCGAGCAAGGCAGCAGACAGGCTTCTGTGCACACTGATTTTCTGGAAAAGGAGGGAGGGCCTGGCACAAAGAACCTCCCTCTGCACCACCAGATCCTTGTCCTGGCTGGATGCGACCGTGCAAGCCTGGAGGAGCAGCAGGCAGCCGGCCCCGGTGTTGCGGTTGCCGGCAAAGGGCACGGCTGCCTCCTCTGAGCCACCAGCCGCGGCCGAGTTAATCCCCGCTGAGGGAGGAACAGCCCACCAAACCAAATTGTAAATACATCTGTGTCCTCCTTCTCCCTGCCACACGTTTAAATCTATTTGATCCACTCTAATGGATTGATCTACAAGTTTGTGCACACACATCCTGCTTTGGACGGGGCGGCTGGCAGCGCCTCACCCATCACGACCTGTCAGCTCCACTCAGCCTCACCTCACCGGGAGCCGCCGGGAACGAATCCAATTACAGGATAAAGGGTTTTCTTCCCCTCCATCTGGTCTCTATAACGCTGTGGCTTTATCTTGCTTTAACCCCTTTCCTGGCGAGGGAGCTCACATGCCTGGTGTAAGCGGCTCAGCGCAGCGGCCACGCGTGGCTGCTATCTGATATGGGGAAACGAGGTCTTCCCAGGGCAGCCAGGGGCACCGGCAGGCACCGCGGTATGTGCCTGCCCACGAGGGAGGAACGAGCCCCTCCAGGAGGGAGATTCGGGGCAGCACGTTACCAAACCAGCCAAAAGCACAAAAGCGAGCTC